AATACTAATTTGACTTTTCATCATTGAAAAATTCTAATTTTGGAGAAAATACTTCTGATAAATAATCTTTCATTTCTTCTTATTTTTCGAAAGACCAATCTTCTAATTTGAAATCAGATACTTTTGGTTGTATATTTAATACTTCTAATTTTGATTGTGGTATTTCTGTAGCTTATTATGAAAAGATTTATTAAAGTTATTCCTATTTTTCTGATTTCTAATCAACTGATTATTATTATCTCTTCCTTCTTTATTCTTCAAATTTTACTTTTTACAATTAATTTAAAATTCCTTTATTGTATAATATTTCATTAACCTAATATTTGATATCAAAATTTCTGATAAATTCATCCTACCAAGCTTTACTAGCTTTAAAATTAGGAATGTTAAATAATTCAATAGCTTTCTATTTTAACTAAGATCTTCTAACTCTTCTTCTTAATTCCACACTCTCCTTTATAATCCATTATCTTAATTCTTCTTCTGCTTTAGTGTTGAGTTTCTTTCTTCCACATCCAGGTTTTCTAGCTATCCCATCTTGATACCATCTTCTTAAGTTCTTTATTGAAGTGTTGTATTTCTCACTTAAGATTTGATACATCTCAAGAGAAGAGTCTTTTTGTAAACTCTCTAAAATCTACTGTTTGTCATCTTAACCTAAGATATTGTATTTCTTCAAAGCTTTATTCTTCTTATTTTATCGCTTAGTATTCGAGTTGCTACTATTGTTATAGTTCATTACAAGTGATAATATTATTAAGGAATTTTATTAAAAGGGCGCGGTTAAGGTTGAACAAATCCTTTTATTAATTGGTAAATTTATAATTATAATTTTAACTATCTTATAATTAAAAATTTAATCTACATAATAACAAGGTATAAAATAGAATTGAGTTTGGGGAGAGATCGTGCTATAACTCATTTCATTATTGAGAATATAAATGTATTTTTAAGTTATTGATAACAAGATAACTAAGTTATTAATATACAATTACTATTCCTAGACATCATTAGACATAACTAATCTAAAATGGCAACATAGATATAACATTTAAATTATTATTTCTTAGTTTATTTTAAAGCAATTTCTTTTTGTATACCAATCAACTTGAACTTATATACCATATTATTCTTCTGACTTATTAACACCATTCAAAAGATCTTAAGCATTGATAAATTCACTTAATTCAACTAAAGCATAACTAATAATCTTATTAACTTTTTCTTCTTAACAAAGCCAATTCTTCTATCAAGATTCAAATTGAGTTTCTTAATTGGACCATATTTTGTTAAAGGATCAAATAAATCATTTTTTAGGTTACTTAATGAATTCTTTTAGAAATAAGAAAATATCCTTCAACAGCTATATTATTATATTTATTAATTCTCCATTTCATAGGTTCTGAACCATCTAAAGATTAGAAATTCTGAGCCTTTCCTCTATATCTATTTGCATTGTCATTTACTTACTTTTTAACATTAAATGCTGTATTTATTTAATTTATAATGAAACATTTATTTTCTTAATTTAATTAGAAAAAAAAGTTACTTAATAAAAATAATGGACATAAAATAAATAGTAAGTTAATTTTTGTAAATGCATTGATTGTTTATATTATTATGAATACTATAATATAATTTTCATTTCTAAAACATCCTTTAGATTTATGCCACAGCTATACTATGATAACTATTCTTGCATAAATTAAATATTCTTAATCCTAAATCTGATTGTTTTTCAGCCAAAATTCTATAAACAGGATTTATGAATTTCATTCTACCATTTGCACTCAAAAAATGACTCAACTTATCTCTAAGTAAATTATAATAAATTATTATTACCCTAATGCACCAGGATAATTGCATTTGATTCCATAGATTAAAATTCTATGTAAAATTTCAGGATTATTTGAGTCAAATAATTGATACTCTTCTTCTAAATTCTATAATAATTTTTAGTCAATATTTTTATTTCCTAATAAATCTAATATAAAACATTTTTCATTTGAATGTAATTTTTGGAAATCTTACAATAACATTTAATTTTCATATAGATCATCAGCTAATTTTTAATATTTTTTAATAAACTATTCATCTATTTTAAGTTTTTCTTTTGGCATTCCAGGATTAACAATCCATTATTACCATTAAAGATCTACTCCTTAAATATTATTTTCAATAAGGAATTTCTCTAAAAGAGTTCTAAATTAATCTGAATTTAATGTATTTTAAGAAACTACTAATCTTATAAATTATTAAAATTTCTCTTCTCCGATTTAAGCTTCAAGAAATCTTAAAAATTAACATCCTTTTTAATAAGGAATCACAGAAAAACAATCATCTGGATTTTATTAATCAATTTTTGGAGATAATGTAGTATAAGTATGATCAGCTCCAAAGTTATTAATACTTTTCTCTAAACTATTATCCTAAAAATAATATTTATAATTACTCCTAATAATCCATGTAATGTCTATTAATCTTTTCCAAAAATTTTGCCAACCATTTTATTTTCAATAAATGTAGTGATACCTTCATTCAACCAAAAACATTCCCAATTTTAACATGTCATACTATTTCCAGACCAAGAATGTATCATTTCATGAATAACAACTGCTGTTTCACTTTTATCACCCACCACCAAAGAGGGTGATAAAAATGTTAAATTTGGATTTTCCATTCCTCCAAAAGGAAAAGCCTTTGGTAATACAACTACTGTATATTAATTCCATTTATAAGGTGTTAAATACTCTTCAATAGATGAAAGATATTTTTCCATGTCAGAGAATTCATAAGTACATTTATTGATTAAAATAGGTTCTGATATTACAAAAGTTCTGTCACTAATTTGTTTTTTCTCTAAATCTCCAGCACAAATGGCAAACAGATAAGCAGGAATTGCTACAGGTTAATTAAAATAGAAAGTTTTCTTATCTCCCTCACTAGTTTCTTTGACTATCAATCCTGATCCAAATGCTTTTAAATGTGAAAGAACAGTCAATTCAATATTGAAAGTTGATTTTATTGATGGACTATCTTAACATGGAAACTATTTGAATAAATTATAATATATACTAATGATCTTGCATAAATTGCTTCTGATTAAGTAAATAAGAAGGGATGTTTATTACCAAATGTTTAAGATGGTTGAAGCCAATTTAATGCAACTTATTCATTGTGAACATTTTATAATGTTGAATAAGTGATTTCAATCTGGAATTCTTCATTTGCCTATTTTTATGTAAGTATTTCTAATTAATCTCCTAATTCCTTAACCACTAATTATTTATAGTTGAATTAAGTGTTTTAGCCATCAACTTTTACTTGCTGAACATCCAACATTTTAGTATCTAAATATACCTTATTTATTTATTTAATAGCTTTCATCTTTAGAATTACTTTTCCAATTAATATTTATTGTTTAAAATCAATTTCAAGCTAAATTGAAGTATTCAATGTTATAACTTAGTCTAAGTTAGATAATGAACATTTATCTAAATTATTGAATATTGTTCCTTATTATGATTATTCATTAGATTAAAATTGATCAAGGGATTGCTACTTTGATTATTATTTTCTTAATTTAGATGAAAATACTATGACAGCTCCTATTACTCCTAAGCCTATCATACCATATAGAGATTTTTTGTAATATCTACTCTGATAAAATTATTTCAATAATTACATAATATTTTATTTAATTAATACTAATGTAAGAATTATCACTTAATAAAATATAAGAAGAAATTCCCTAAATTCGATATAGAAGACCAAATTATCAAATTCCTATTTTAAACAGGATTTCAAATGACATCAAATAAATTCAATTTCCTAACAAAACTATAGTCTAAAATAAACTCAACGAACATAAATAAATAAAACCTTTGAAATTATTACCTTACACTCCAATATCAATTTAATAATAAAGATAAATTCCTTACAAATATTAAAAAAAAGTTAATTCAAAAAAAACTAGTGAATTAGATCATCTTGATTTTGAAAGCTCCTCTAGATAATTAAAATTGTATTTAGAATAGGAAAAAAACTAATTGAAATCAGAGAAATATATTTAATCTTTACTTGAGTGTGTACGTATGCCTTCAATTAATACAGATATCAATAGAGATAATAAATAAACAATCGATAGTTTAATACAGTCCCAAATTGGGTCTAGTGTTAGAGTGAGTGGTTTAAAACCTAAATTATTTAATAGGAAAAGATCAAAATCATATGAGATCTTCGATAGGAACTCATATTACTAATTTGATTCTCTCGACTTATAAAAATATTAAATCATTTGATAAAATTATTTATTTTAGTTATGTTGTATTTTATAACATTGTTCATCTCTTTGAGGAGTTAATCGATTAATCTTATTTGATTTTTTTTACAATTAGACTATATGTATCACTGTCTTGATATTATAATAAATAGGCAACTTCTCTCTTAACGTTTTTGGCAGGAAATGACTTATAATTTTGTAATATCTTATTTAATGATTATTATTTGTCATTACTGATTTATTTGTTATTTTTTTATCTCATTTTTTATTATATTACATTAGCTTATTAATTTTTCTATTTATTAGTATTTTTATTATTATTATTATTATTGTTATTATTATTAGTATTATTATTTTTATTATTGTTATTATTATTATTATTATTGTTATTGTTGTTATTTTTATTATTTTCTTCAGATTCATATTCGCTACTTTATTAATACTCACTACTACTAGATGATAATGAAGAAGAAGAAGATATTTCTTATATATATTCAACATCAGATCTAAACCATTAAATAACATATAATACTTCTGAACCTTCTTAGTAATTTTCTTTAACTTCTTCTAATTTTTTTATTTTTTTTATGTAATTTTTGGGAGTTGTTATTTTTGTTATTTTGATTATTTAACTTCATAATTCCATATGAGAATATCTTATTCCAATATTTTCCATTTCATTTTCTCCCTCCTCATAACTTGAGAACACAGTAATCTTAAATTTTCAAAATCCAATCTAATTCCTTACATATCTTTGAAACTGTTCAACTATTATTTTACAAATGAATAACCAGTTCTCTTATTTTTTATTCAAATAATTATACCTGAAGTTAACTAGGTTTCTTTCTATATAATTAATCATCAGTTAAAGGACGAACATATTTTTCAAAAATAGAATCTTTAGTTAATTATTCTAGATCCCCTCCACAAATAGTATATAAATCCTTTAACTTTATCATTATATCATTTCTTTGACATCTTGAACAAAAACATATAGCCTAATTTTATTATGTAAATTACCTAACAAAAAGGACAAACCCAATCTGTCTTCTAAATTACTTCTTCAATTTTTATATCATAATTTTATTTTAAACACATTCTACAAAACTTTCTTTAACATATCAACTCCCCATCTAAAACAATAAATATAAATATTTTACTCTTTTTTGAATAAATACTATATGCAGTTTTCTTTCTATTTGGAACTTATCTTCTACTCTTGATTCCTTCATCGTCCACTAAGATTTTTCATTTAATTTTTACTTTAAGTAAATAAATATGAATCTGTTATTGATGAATTAATTATTGGTAATCCCATGGTACCACTTCGATAATTACAAGATATAAGATATTCTTCTCTAAATAACATTTTGCAATGATGACATGCCTCATATCTTAACAAAGTAGAATCATTATCACTAGATTAAGCTGCTTTAGATTCTTTAGTTAGATTTTTATTAATCAATGGATTTGGTTTCTATCTATTTTATTGTACTTAATTTATTCCAATGAACTTGATAAATCAAATAACTTAATACATTTTAAGCTATGTGAGAATATTTAGTTTTCTAAGGTATATTATAAAATTTAAATAAAGATGTATCTCTTAGTTTATCCAATTCATACATTAAATCTTCATCTATATTGACATAGGTTGAATTTAATGCTGATTCAAAAGCAACACAGAATTAATAACCATTAGGAGAATGTACAGTGTTAATAACTTTCACTATTGATTCTGCAGTCTATCTATAGTCTAGTTATTCAAGACTTTTTCTTAAATAAGTCAATAATGCCTCATTATTATAAATGATTTGATTCTTGCTGAGACTATTATTACCTCTACCTTATTTGTAAATATGAACTTAGGTTCCAAAGACATTTAAAGGTTGTTCACTTTTAATTTTTTAAGTCAGATTTTATAGATCTTTCTTATTTGATTTGTTTAATTATTGTAATTCAGTTGAATATTCTTATAATTATTGATATATTTCATCTTTTTATCCTGTTCTTAGTTCTATTTATTCATTTAATTTATCTAACAATTTATCCAATTATGCATTTTCTTAAATTAATGAACTTAATTATTTATATACATTATATACCTAATGTTTTTTTATTTAAATTTAACCATTGATTTTTGTTTCATATAGTAAATTTTTTCAATTTAAGGTATTTTTAAAGATTTTGCTTTGTGAATAAGACCACTCAACTTGATATGCTTTTAAATATTCTCCCAATAAGTTTTATTTTCTGATTAAATCTGTTGTTTATTTAAGATTTATCTTGCTTAATAAAACTGATAATCAGCATATTTCACAGGAAATTCTGTTACAATAGCATCATCATTCATAGCTTTGAGATATTCAAGTCTCTCTTATTCAGGTTCATCCACTTTCTTAAAGTACACTTAATTAATATGTCTCCAAAAATAACATAAAATGTATTCATTTTAATATGAACTGTTAATGTAGGAATTGTTCTATGATGTCCTAATCTTAAGCTTTCGTCTATTTGTAATGAATATTCATGTTACCTAGAGTATTTATCATAAATATCAAAATTCCCATTCTTTTTATCTAACTTTATTATTTTCTCAAGATTATTTTTGTTTTAGTTTTTATCAGCATTCAATTAATTTTCTTCGCTCATTCCTAAAATAATATACTTGAAATAGCAAAATATAAAAGTATATAGGAAAAACGAAAGAATATTGTTCAATATTCTCGTTGTATAACAATACCTTTCTTTGATTTCTTCCCTTAGAAAAAGAGTGATATTTATTAAATAAAATAATGAAATCAGGTATAATTTAAATTAATACACTATCTAAAATTATTTACAGATACTCGATCAACCTTTCCTCATAGACTAAAGAACATAGAGTTGTTATTATACACATATATATTATACACATTATAATCCAAAATACTAACAAGCCTTTTGAATGTCATAATCCTCAAGGTTTCGAAACTCTCTTAGGGATAAATTTTTTTTTTTCAATAATCATAAAGAAAGCGCTTAAAATAGTTTATTGGCACATTTATTTCATATTTAAATAATTCAAAAAAAATATTTACTACTTAATATAATTACAAAATGTATTATAATAATGTATAGTGTAATTTCTACACTGTTTTTATTAAATAATTGAAAATCATTTTAAATAATTTATTATAAGTGATTGTTTATTATGATGTCAACAATATTATTAACTTTTGGAGATGGAAATAAATCAAATTGAGATCAAATATTCTTTAAGTTGTGACTATTTTTTAAAGTAATTAATATTTTTTTAAGATTATCACACATCAGTATATTAAATTATATTGATTAAAAAATTGTGATTATTTTCTAAAAGATACAATATATAATTATTTATTATTCAAAGTGCAAATAATTAGATTATAAGGTTTATTTAATCTTTTCAACTATTTTTTAATATTCCCATATTTTAAGACCTTTTAATTTTATACAAAAAACAACTACTTTTATATACATATAATATTGCTCCCAATAAATTAATTATTATCAAATACTATATACAATTATTTATATAATTTAAATTCAAATTAATGGAAGAACCTAAAGGGATTGTTCGTCATATATAGACATTGCAAGATCCACAATTATCTAGATCATATAGAGGACATGAAAAAACATATTGTCTATCATTTGATCCATAAATGAGATAATTAGCATCTGGAGGAAATGATTCAATAATATATGTCTATAGTTTCAAACCATAAGGAAGACCATTTAAATTTAATGGTCATAAAGGAGCAGTTTACAGTGTTTAATTTTCACCTGATGGTTAAATAATTGCAAGTGGTGGAGAAGACAGGACAATTCGTTTATGGAAGAATTCTGTGTAATTTGATATTAATATGAATTTAATAGTTTAGGAAAGTGTACAGCAATTAAAGGACATATTGGTAGTGTTAGATCATTATCATTTTCTTAAGATAGCAGTATGATAGTATCATCATCAGATGATAAAACAATTAAGGGATGGAATGTATTAAAGAATAATTTTATGTTCTCATTGGCAGGACATACTAATTGGGTTAGATAAGCTAAATTATCTCCAGATTCTAGATTAGTAGTTTCTGGTTCAGATGATTCAACAGTTCGTTTATGGGATGTTAATTTATCAAAAGAATTATAGAAATTCAAATGTGAAGATTCAATATATTCAATTGATTGGATTAGTGATGGAACTACTATATGTGCAGGTTAAATGGATGGAAAAATTAAATTATGGGATGCTCGTTCAATGAGATTAATATAATATTATGAATGTAGTAAAAAATCAGTTAATACAATAAATACTCATCCTAGTGGTAATTTTCTATTATCTGGTGATGATGAAAGCAATTTAAAAATATTTGATTTAAGATAAGGAAGATTAGCATGGTCATTATATTCCCATTCTTAACCAATTAAATAAGTATAATTTAATTATGCAGGTGATTATTTTGCTTCAGCTGGATTAGATTCAAATGTTTTAGTTTGGTAATCTAATTTTGATGAAAATATGAAGCCTTGTAATGTTATTAATTTTGTAGATAAGAATTTATCAAATAATGATTCATAAACATTATCATCTTCAAATTAATTTAAGGTTCCTTAAACTACATTTAAAGCTAATAAATAATAAAATAAAATNTTATCAAATACTATATACAATTATTTATATAATTTAAATTCAAATTAATGGAAGAACCTAAAGGGATTGTTCGTCATATATAGACATTGCAAGATCCACAATTATCTAGATCATATAGAGGACATGAAAAAACATATTGTCTATCATTTGATCCATAAATGAGATAATTAGCATCTGGAGGAAATGATTCAATAATATATGTCTATAGTTTCAAACCATAAGGAAGACCATTTAAATTTAATGGTCATAAAGGAGCAGTTTACAGTGTTTAATTTTCACCTGATGGTTAAATAATTGCAAGTGGTGGAGAAGACAGGACAATTCGTTTATGGAAGAATTCTGTGTAATTTGATATTAATATGAATTTAATAGTTTAGGAAAGTGTACAGCAATTAAAGGACATATTGGTAGTGTTAGATCATTATCATTTTCTTAAGATAGCAGTATGATAGTATCATCATCAGATGATAAAACAATTAAGGGATGGAATGTATTAAAGAATAATTTTATGTTCTCATTGGCAGGACATACTAATTGGGTTAGATAAGCTAAATTATCTCCAGATTCTAGATTAGTAGTTTCTGGTTCAGATGATTCAACAGTTCGTTTATGGGATGTTAATTTATCAAAAGAATTATAGAAATTCAAATGTGAAGATTCAATATATTCAATTGATTGGATTAGTGATGGAACTACTATATGTGCAGGTTAAATGGATGGAAAAATTAAATTATGGGATGCTCGTTCAATGAGATTAATATAATATTATGAATGTAGTAAAAAATCAGTTAATACAATAAATACTCATCCTAGTGGTAATTTTCTATTATCTGGTGATGATGAAAGCAATTTAAAAATATTTGATTTAAGATAAGGAAGATTAGCATGGTCATTATATTCCCATTCTTAACCAATTAAATAAGTATAATTTAATTATGCAGGTGATTATTTTGCTTCAGCTGGATTAGATTCAAATGTTTTAGTTTGGTAATCTAATTTTGATGAAAATATGAAGCCTTGTAATGTTATTAATTTTGTAGATAAGAATTTATCAAATAATGATTCATAAACATTATCATCTTCAAATTAATTTAAGGTTCCTTAAACTACATTTAAAGCTAATAAATAATAAAATAAAAT